GCTGATTGGGACGACCTGGACTTCAATGTGCACTGACATGTATGAGAGCCGAATGGGATACAGGACAGACAGGACCAGTTAGCTGTACATACTGGCAAGCATGGAAACTAAGGTGGGGCAGGCCTTGTGGGGGTATTGCGGGTTGCTCCAACAAGGCGGCAGCTCCCACTGGTTTGCATGACGGCTGAGTATGTGGTGGGCAGGATCGGGTTGGACTCTAACACACATTGGTTTGTGTAAAACATGGGGCTGGAGACAGAACTGACCCAGCAATTGCAACTACCAGTGTGTGCGCAGGCTGATTTGAATGATGGACTGTGCTGGACCCTGTATTGGCGTACATACACAATAATCAGGTCTGGAGTGGCCTCAGATGAGGTTTCTTGGGCAATTCCCTACCAATTGAACTGCTAGACTCAAACCCCAACCATGGAGAGATTGCAGGTTCTATGATCTGACCATTGAGTGCATGTGTCAGAGCTGGGCCTCCTCAGTGGCTCAGATGGAGCAGTGGACAGCATATCCAAATGCACAATAGAGGATATGGCAGTGCATTGGAGCCTCCAGAGGACACCTGGTACCATGACAGAGGATGGAAGACAGAACACATTGATCATTTACTCTAACCAAGCGAATTGGCATTGAATGTCTGGTCAGATGGAGACTTTAAGTTGGACCATAGCAGCCAGTAGATTCTGGAGAGATTTCATCGTGATTGGAGTAGCGGGTTTCTTCCTGTTGTTGATTTAATATTGTGGCTTTTCATATAAGGTAATATGTTCTAACTGTGTAATGGAGACTATTATTTCCAGATGTGAGGATACAATGCAGTAGACATCTCTACTTCCAGAGCAAAGATGGACTCCCAACGAGACTGTTAACTATATCTTGACAATAGGATGCTGGACTCTCTGCCGTTGTCCATGCCCTCAGTCATAGGCATATGACTGTTTATGAAAAACTATACCATAGCAAAAATTTAGGGGAACTCAGTGGAGGGGAGGGAGCTTAGGGTGAGAGTAAGGGAAATCCCAAGGCCGATAGAACTGTATCATAAAACGATAATAATTTAAAAAAAAAAAGAAAAAAAGATTCTCTGTTTCAAATAAGTAAATTGCAATATTAATTGGCACAAGGCCCCCATCCAGGGAAAGCAAATTTACAGCTTATTACTTGACTAAAAAAAAAATAAATAAATAAAATCTGTAGCCTATATGGTATAGCATACTACCCTATAGAATTCCTTGTGCAAGTAGCAAATGATATGTGTATGTAAAACAATGACAACCACAGCATTATCTACAATCATAAAATCATGGAATTAACTGAATTCCGAAACAACATGTAAAAGGTGAGCTAATGGTACAAACAAAAGAAATGAGGAAGATAACCATCACGATGCTCTCGATCCTGCTGACTCCACGACCCACCCAGCAATTACTGAGTCAGGCACATCATTACAGTTGAAGAAAATTTGTGACTAACCCAAGGCCTCACAAGAAAAGAAATAGGATCCCACCCCCAAAGTCGTGCTCTTGGGCATAGAAGCCACCAAATCTGTCACTCATGTCCCCAGCCACATTTGATCTGAGGGATGGAAGGTGAGAGACATCCACCGAATGACAATAGGGTGGGTGAAGTAACTGCCGTAACAAAGCCTCATCTATAGGAACAACCAGAGAAGTCATGACAGGTCTAGCACATCTCTAGATGGCCTCCAACCACCAACTTTCCAGTTAACAGTTAAACAGGTTAACCAATCGTGCTACAGAGACACACCTTCAGATTTCTGGCTCTGACGGAATGCTGGAGAGTATCACCTGCTTTTGCAATATGTCTAAGTAAGTTGGAAAGGCTTGGAAGAAAACCAAGGAAACTAGAGCAATGATTCAAGTTGACCTGCCTGAAACTCATGCATTAGGTGACACTGAAACTAGAAGGGCAGCCAAATGGCCTTGGCCTCCACACTCCCCCTTACCTGCCTCAGAAACTGTGGCTCTGGGGACACTGGTCCTCAGCCCTATGGGACAAACCATGCCCTGGAAGCTCAGTGAGGGCTTGTTGGATGAAGACAGTTGAGAGGCTGAAGCTATGAGGAGGCATTGGCCAGACAATTGAAAAACAGAACCAGGGGTCAACACAGTGGTATAGCAAGCTAATCCTCTGCCTGCAAGACCCAGCATTCAATTAAGGCATCAATTTATGTCCCGGCTGCTCCACTTCCTGGCTCTCTGCTTGTGGCATGGCAAAGCAGTGGAGGACGACCCAAAGCCTTAGGATCCTGCATTCACATGGGACACCTGGTAAAAGCTCTTGTCTGAAGGGGGTTTTCCTGCCAGCAGGCCCTGAGACCACCAAAGGGAAAAGGCAACGATGAGTTTTGGCTGCAAGAACCACTAGGGACAGTCTGATGGAGCATGTCCATGTATTGTAAAGGGAGCACTAACTGACATAGGCTAGGAAAGGGGAAGGCAGAAGGCCATTCCCTGACAGTCATCCCACCCAACAATGACACTGTAATTGGCTAGAAGGCATGTCTATCTCTTTGGACCCTCCAACCAAGTCACAGGCAACAATCCACAGGCACAACTGGAAGCTGTGCCTCAGGTCACCGCATTTAGGCCGGGAGCCACGCCCACCAGGAAGAAGGCAGAGATCCAGGGGGATCTCCTACACTCCTGGCTCTCAGTTTTAGAGCAGCTCAGCTCTGGCCGTTGCAGTCATTTGAGGAGTAAAGCAGAGGATGAAAGATTTTTCTATCTTTTCTCTATTAAAAAAAAAATCTGCCTTTCCAATAAAAATTTTAAGTTTTAAAAAAATGGAATGCTAATTCACAAGCCAGGCTTGCAGGAAATCAGATTGTGATCTACAAAAAAAAAAAAAAAAAAAAAGCGCTTCTCTAACAGTTGACTTAGAATGGCTAGAAGTTGACCCTGATTTGTGTCCCCATTTGCAATTTAAGACCTGCCCAAAGAACTCCTATGCACTTTTCTGGCTGATTCTTCAGTATGCTCATCTTAGTGGGACCACCTGCAGCTTCCCCTTGCCAACTGCCCCATTCAAGGGATACTGAAAATCTCCCCTTTGTGCCTGCCTTGGAATTGGCCAGGAAACAGCACCTGAGATGTGCAGGCTCCTTGGATACAATAAGTTCAGCATCAGCAGTCTTTACTTTTTAGGTCATTGTCCTTTTGCTCCAGACTATCATGGGCAGCCTTTTAGTCTTGGAAGTATTTGGAGGGTGGAAAACAAAATTTGGGGAGTGGAAAATGAACAGTATTTTAAAGGGAGAAAGTCTTTTTAAATGTCTTTCTTTTGAAGGTCAACTGATTTCCAAAGCCCTTAGGCCCCATGGGGCGGGGCAGGATGGGAACTCACAGTACACCACCTGTGCTGTCTGAACTACAGATGCCCACGGATCAAAGGGCCCGTGGGTGGGAGCCATAACGGGCAGTGCCAAAGGGAAAAGGAAGGAGGAGAAAAAGAGCCAGCCGGGGAAAGTGTGGGCAAGCATAAGCCCTCCCAGGAGACTTATGCTCAGTCAGGGTCGCATTTCGACAGAGGACACGAGAAAAAGGAGCATACAACCATCAGGTAAGAATCAAACAAGGAAAGAGTGTTCCCATATCAAAGATATGACGGGAAGCACCTTGGCTGCCTGGAGGCTCATGGGGAGCGGGCAGAGGGTGAGGCACCTGATGCCTCAGAAGCTGGGGGTCACTGCTGGGCAGCAACCATCCTGTTCCAAGCGGAGCTATGCCAGTTCTTGGTTAAAGGTGGCATGTATCCATGTTTCTCTTTTTCAATTTGTGAATCTCTCCTGCTACTGATCCACTGAGAAGGAAGGCAATTGGCAACAGAGAAATCATACCTGGCAATACATCACAAGTTCATGGGGACCTCTCAAAATCCCTTACAGGTACTTGGTCCTGTCCTGTTTACTCCACTTCTGATCCAGCTCCCTACTAATACCCTGGAAATGCACCAGAGTTCTTGGGCTCCTGTGCCAATGGGGGCAGGGGGAGGCATGGAAGATGTTTCTGGCTCCTAGCTTCAGACCTCTCTGCTCTGGCTGGCTGTTGCATCCATTTGAGGAGTGTACTTATGGATGGAAGATCTCTCTGTCTCTCCTTCCATCCCTCTCTTTCTCTCTTACTGTAACTCTGGTTTTCAAGTAAAATAAATAAATGTATTTTTAAAATTCATAGACAATGGAAATAAAAGACAAGCTTTTTTTCTTGCAAAAAGGTTTTCAATTTCAGGGTCGCATATTGTTGCCCAACAGATTAAACCACCTCCGAGTGCTGACTGAGGTCCCTGCCACTCTATGTTGGGTCCTGCTCCCTGCTAACACACCTGTGAAGGACCCAGTTGTTGGGTCCCTGACAGCCATGAGGAAGTCCAGGATGCATTTCCTGGCTCTTGGCTGCTGTGGCCATTTGGGGAATAAAAAAATCAAATGGAAGATCAATTTTTCTCTCTCTCTTCTACCTTTTTTTTTTTTAATTAGTTTTACTTGAAAGGCAGTTATCAGAAGAAGGAGGGGCAGAGAGATCTTGCATCTGCTGGTTCACTCCACAAGTGCCGCAACAGCCAGACCTGAGCCAATCCAAAGCTGCGATCCAGGAGGCTCTTTTTGCATCCCTCACATGGGTGCAGGGTTCCAAGGACTTGGGTGATCATCTACCACTTTCCCTTGCAAATCAACAACGAGCTGGATCAAAAGTGGAGCAGCTGGGGCATGAACTGGTGCCCAGATGGGATGCCAGCATCACAGGCAGAGGTTTAGCCTATTATTCCATAGTATTAAGCCCTTTCTTCTGCTTTCAATAAATAAATAATCTATTAAAATTTGTAAAAATCCACGGATAATTCTTCACAAAACAGGAAAGTTAAACAAAAATCAAACGAGAATCATGTTAGCTAGGCTATTACAGATTTATAATAATCAGTAGCTTGAACCTTTTGTTAAAACTATATGGGCAAACAGAAGCGTAAGAATGGAGCCCAGTAGTGGTGTTGGCATCAAACCGTAAGTTGTTAGGTGACCGCTAGGGGGAACCTGTGGACTTACACAGCAACTGCAAGGCCCAAGTCAGCGGGGATGTTACCCTGTGAGCCTCAGCCTTGGGCTAGCAAACGTGCACTGCACCTTAGGAAGGGTGAGTTTTACCTCCTGGGGTATTGTAGAAAGAGTGAATGAGGACCCCCTTGTTTGCCTCTCCCCAGTATAGGTAACATCCAATATGAAATATATTGTTACCCCTCTTTCCATCAACAACCAAGAAATCTCTTAGCCATTAGAATGTATTCTTTCATTTTCAACAAGACATTCTTCACTTTTCAATGTAATTAGTGACCACACATACATTTCCAAAATGTAAACCCGAGTCAGTGCACGTGCCCAGCCTGTCCGAGAAGTAACACACCTCCATCCACACTCGGGCTGTGGGGCGGCCGGCTATGGCTGCTGGCAGTCCTCAGTCTGACCAGCTCGGGGAGCTTCCAGTCGGACACTGATTATTTCAGTTAACAATGCGTTTAAGAACGTTTTCTGTATTTTATCCAAATTTTATATACTTTCAGAAGGGAGACTAATATGAATTTGTACTTGCTACACACATATTGCTAACTTCTTTAAAAAGATTTATTTATTTTTATTTGGAAAGTCAGATTTACAGAGAGGAGAGCCAGAAAGATGTGTCTGCTGGTTCCCTCAGCTGGTTCCCTCCTCATGTGGCCACAACAACCAGAGCCGAGCCAATCCGAAGCTTCTCCCATTGGATGCAGGGTCCCAAGCTTTGGACCATCCTCGATTGCTTTCCCAAGCTACAAGCAGGGAGCCGGATGGGAAGTGGAACAGCTTGGACATGAACCAGTGCCCATATGGGATCCTGGTGCATGCAAGTTGAGGACTTTAGCCACTAGGCTACCGCTGGAGGCCCCAAATATAAATTTGTACATTGCAAGAAATGTATTGTTAACTCTTAAAATATACTAAATGCCTGAAAAAAATAAGGTCATGCTTTACAGGTGTGATTCTAAACTAGATTCTAAATGCTGAAGAAAGCAACAGGAATATAACTCAGCCCCACCACTGTTTGAGCAGTCAAATCACTATTGCCAATCTGTTCCAGGCCCTAATGTCAACGGCTTCATACTAAAACCAGATTTTTCTTTTGGATTCCCCTTGTGGTAACCACACACACACACACACATTCCTGCTCTGCTTTTCAAACAGATGAAAATAAGTAGATAAATATTTTCTTAAAAATATTTTGGTTGGTGTCCACCATGGTAGTCCAATGGCTGCCATTAGACCGTATGGGCCCTGGTTCTAATCCCAGTGGCCCCAATTCCCATCCAGCTCCCTGCTTGTGGCCTGGGAAAGCAATTGAGGAGGGCCCAAAGCCTTCAGAGTTTGCACCCATGTGGCAGACCTGAAAACAGCTCCGGGCTCCTGGCTTCGGATTGGCTCAGCTCAGGTTGTTGTGGCCGCTTGGGGAATCAATCAACAGACAGAAGATCTTCCTCTCTTTCTTTCCTCCTCTCGGTATACCTCTCTAACTTTCGAATAAAATTAAATAAATCGTTAAAAAATTTGGTTAGAAAAGTTAAAATCTGTGGATATGAAGCACCATGAAAAACAGCAGATGATTTATATTGTGAAAAAACTATGCATGAATTGAAAAAATTTGCACAAAAAGAAATCTTTTAATTATATCAGTCCATAAACATTTTGCAATATCCATCTAATGTTGAATCTGAGAGTTCATTGCCATTGTTTTCTGTGTGAATGGCTGTCATATTTCCTGCTTCAAAATGATATCCAGACACTATAGCTTTGGGCCACACTCTCAATTTTTAGGCGGCGAGTAGCCTGCAGAAAAATCAAGCGTAATAAAACATTTGGACATAGTTTTCTGATCTACAACTTGCAAGCTTATCATGATCCCTCAGATGATGAGGCATGTGGACTGGGAATCAAGAAAGGAAAGATGACGTCTCAGACCATCAAGAATGGTTATAAACCCCCCTTCTCATAGCTTACGTAGAAGGAAAGTTCTTGCCTTGCCTGAGCAGTAGGTAATACAGAGCTCCTGCAATGGAGCCACCAGAATGAATTAATAAATTCTAGGCCTGCTCAGTTCTCTGCTGACCCAGAATTTCCTGAAATAATGAAAACAGTTCACAATTAGTTTTTAATACTGTTTAGCACAGCTAAATTTCTTTTCATCTATCTTCAAGTTCATTCCTTAAGCTTGTCAAATAGTGGCAATTTAATAATTCATCCTAATCTATTGAACTCTTGGGCAAATTTCAAATTTGTTTATACCAATTCAGCTTTACCAACTGACTCCTATTGACAATGTATGAAAATATTTCTTTTCTTTCATCTTTTCCAGCTTAATAGTATCAGTAACTTATTTTCCCAATTTAAGTAGTATGGATGTTTATGTTAATTTGTAATTCCCAGTCTACTGGCTTGTTAGAATTTGTGTTGTCTATTGATTCTGTTAATCTTCCTTATAGCACTTACTCCTACTTGATATGTTTTTAAATTTTATATATTCACTTTTATATCTGTTAATATTTTTAATTTCTTACAAACAAGCATCCAGGGAAGTATGAACTTAAATCACATTCACCATGCCTGGAATATTAGAACCACCTGATATCTATTAATTGAAAGAATAAAAGCAGGTTTTTTGGTGTGTCTGGGAAAGTACACATAAGCAAAAATATCACTCTTCTTTACTGGATTCTCACGTTTCAGGCTCTGTTAAGCCTGGAGCAAGGTGTTTTGTCTTTGAAAAGTTATAACTTCAGAATACCTCTTAGATCAGTTCCTGTCCTTAGGTGTCAAGCCTTCTCTATTCATAAAGAAATGGCATGTGACTTCTGTAAACTTGTTATGATTTACAGTTCCTGTCCCCTTATGTAACTATTTAATTCATGACTTTGTGCCATGTTAACTGTTGAAAAATGATATCACTTTTTGGATGACTCCTTTCCTTGTAAGATAATAGTTTTCATCCCTAAAATAAAAAAGAAAATTGCTATGAGGAATTTTATTTTTGAAGTCATGATGTTAAAGGAAAGGAACAATTCAGAAGGCTGTGTATCGATGAGTGAGTAGGGAAGTGTCCCTGCTATAATCAGTGACTTGAGTAGGTGAGGACTCTGCAAATCACAGCTTCTTACTTGCTAACTCCATGGCTTCCTCCACAGGGGTGTCAGGAGGAGAGGCTGCAGGAGGAGATAAGTGACTCACCGCTCTGCCTTTTTCCTTTTTTAAAATATTTGTTTATTATTTATTTGAAAGGTAGCATTACAGAGAAAAGATGAGACACAGAAATCTTTCATCCACTGGTTCACTCCCCAGATGGCCACAGTGGCCAGAGATAATCAGTCCAAAGCCAGGAGCTTCTTTTGGGTCTCCCACATGGGTCCAGGGGCTCTAGGACTTGGGCTAGCCTCTTCTGCTTTCCCAGACACATTAGCAGTGGGCTTGATTGGAAGCAGAGCAGGCAGTACTCCCATCAGTACCCACGTGTGATGCTGCTGCTACAGGCAGCAGCATTACCTGTTATACCATAGTGCAGGCCTCTGCTTTCTTTCCTGTTTCTGTTGACACCACACCAGGAATGATGCTTCACCCTGTTGGTAGCAGCTTCCTGTTTCTTTTCATTTTCACTGTACTCAGCAGAGCTGTTGGGCACACCCCCGTAGAGGATGAAGTGCCAGCTGCGAGAGCTACTTCCCCTGAGTTCTAAGAGGAGCAGCAACACGGCTATGTGAGACCCTTCATCCGAGGGTCAAGCGCCAGCAGCCCCAGCCTCTACCTGGTTCAAGCAGACGGTCGCAGTGACCGCAGTAACCGTCTCTGTGTTCCCCCTTTGCCTTTTCAGACCTGGGGTGTCTGTTTATTGCCTTGTTTTGGATTCTTTCCAGCAGATTGCTTTCATGTTCTGGTCTTGAGTGATACAGCACTACTCTCCAATTGACCTGACCTGGCTGCTGGTAGCCGGAGACCAGTGAGCTGCATGCCACTTTCTGATGCACCCAAACAGTGCGCTTGGCCTAGACACGCCAGTGAGATGCCACCTCTGCATTGTCTGTCTCTGTGGTCCGCTGTGCATTTTCACATTTCAATGCACATACAGCCTCCTCACATTTAGCTTTTATCTGGCAAGAGTCCTAAGAAAAGGATACTACTTATCCCATTTAAGTCTAAAACTAAATGTCTTCCTGACACCGGATCTTCTCTCCCTTTAAGAAAATAACCCCTCCCTCGCCCCTCCATTGATCATCACCCATAACTCAGTCTCTCCTTCCTCCGTTGGTGAATACAATGAATTTTCATATGTGGAATTTCATATGTTTAATTTTTGTTTATTACTTATGCAAGTTGAATTTGTTTAAAATATGTGCTTCCTATCTTTTAGGCATGCTAGGTTAATTTTTCCATTAAAATAAAGTATTTTTCATGGAACAGGTTTTCCATTTGTGATAAAGCTATAAGTTATAAATTAAAGTCATTCAGCCAATGTTTGCATACAAGATACAATGATGTAGAAATTTCCATAAATACCACACCTTCAATGTTGGGAGAAGCTGTCATGTGAAAATGCAAGGTCTAAGGGAAGAGACAAGTGTGAAATGGTCACGTGTTTATTTTAGAATATGTATTGATTATGGAGTGACTTTCTGAGAAAGATACAAATAAAATAGCAGCAATGCTTCTTTCCTACTCTCAAGTTAGGGAAACTAAATTGGGCATGTTGTGTTAGTCTGTTTTTCATTACTGTAAAAAGGACCTACAGGACACTTTGTCAGAAAAGACTCTGGTTTGGCTTTGCAGTTCCAGGTTCAGGAGCAAGGCCTGAGCACGGCACAGGCTCCAGGGAGGGCTCATGGTGGCTGTGTCACATCAGGCCAGGAGCGTGTTCTCAGCTGTCTGCTGCCTCCTTCTTCCTCTTATAGAGCCACCAGATTCAATCAGGGAGACGCCAAACTTAATGGTCTGATTTCATCTAAGCACATCCCAGAGGCCTTATCTCTAAACATCAAGGTTGGATTAAATCTCCACCCTCTGAATACTGTTAATATAAGACCCGGATAACTAAATTTCTGCATGAATCTGGGGAGAACAAACCTATTCAAATCATAGAAATGTATAGTATACATAGACTATGATTAAGAATGCATGATAGGGTACTCTAAGCTCTGTATGAATGAGACAATAACATAAAAAGAATGACTCAAGTAGGTGAAGGGGAAAAGACACAGCATTTTTGAGCAAGATCCTGAAGAAATTTCTGAAAATGAGATCATCCAGAAGGAGGGAAGTATCTGAGTGAAGTGAGCAACCTTCCCAGTCCAGTATCCCATTTTACCTCCATCTTCTTCCTCCGTCTCTCCTAACCAACCCACAGACTTTCGTTTTTGATTGTTCAGTTTCTATCTAAACTTGAAAGGGCACAGAGAGGAAGGAAGCAATTTTTGTTTTCAGTTAAACTCCATCCAAGAAGTGATTGTTTTTAGTTTGACTCAAGCAAGTGTGTTTGCCTAAAGAGGAAGCTGACAAATTACTAAAATGAGAGGAAGAGTGGAGAATGGCAAGTGTATTTTTTGTATGTGTGTGAGAGAGAAAAAATCACTCCTGAACTCACTGGCTTAGAGAAGCAAGGGTCCCACAAATCTGCAATACAGACAATGGCCTTGTTCCAGTAGGGATTTTCTGCATTGAACCAACTGCCATCTCCTTAAGGGGTAGTAAAATAGTGTTTCTAAACAAAGTATGGAGAAGAGTAATATGACCTAGAAAGCCCTTGTACTCCCAGACAGCTTGCCTCATTTGTTTGACTGAACTTAGACAAAGAATTTTTGAAGCTTTAGACACAGAATTGATCATGGTAAGGACAATGGTGTCTCCAAGATCAAAAGAATGAAGCCTCAGTCAAGTAGTGGAGTAGGAAAAAAATATGATTGAACTTAGGAACAGCTCCATCCTCTCTTAGCTAGCAAATGTCATTCCCTTAGTTAGGTTGTTGCTAACGAGTTCTGCTTCCGTCTCTGGGATTCAGGAATGAGCAAAAACATAGCCATCCTCCTTTCCTCCAGTCAAACCTCAAACAGCACAAACTGACTCCCACCTTGCATTGCACCTATAGAATAACATCCTTAAGAATAATCAGGTCAGAAAGAATAATCCAGCCTGAAATACTGCATCCTGAACAGGGTCTTGGTTGAATTCTACCCCGGTATCTCAAATTATCTCTGCAAAGAGAAACATCTCCCCTTCCCTTCTGATTACAAGAACCCTGTGCCGACCCTCTGAAAAATCAAAAGGAGACATAAAATGTCTGCTACCCCCACTAACTGTTAACTTACAATGAAGATGCAAAAGCTTTCATTCATGACTCTCTCCACAACCTTACTACAAAGGAGGAATTCTCCCTAGAGAGGACCTGGCTTTGATTGTATTTTATCAGTCCCCAGCCTGCCCACAACACAAAGCTGCTAGATGCCTGAGAAAGGATTGCGGAGTTACGGTACGGAATAAGCATACTCAGTGTCAATTAGCAATGACTTCGCTTTCCTTAAACTTTGCAATTGTCACTCCTGCACAAAGCAAGATTTGGAGCTAATTTGTGTCTCACTGCACCATTGATTAACGTGGTGACCATGAGAGAATTGGACTTGACCTCTTAATAATGTACGAAAACTGAGATTGAAGCTAAGTGTTCTTTTGGCTTTTAAATTTTTTAAGGAATATATGGAAAAGAGCATGCACTCCCGTCTGCTGGTTTACTCCCCGGATACCCACAAACCCCAGGACTTGGCTGAGCTAAAGCCAGGATCTGGGAATTCAGCTTGGGTTTTCTGCATGAGTGGCAAGAACCCGTTCCTTGAGCCATCCCTGTTACCTCGCAGAATCTGCATTAGCAGGAAGCTGGAGTCAGAAACTGGATATGCAACTGCCAGGCTAAACCTAGCCTTGTGTACATGGAAATACT